AGACATTTCTTCAACTCATGATTCTGGAGGCTGCATTGTTCAAGATCCAGGGACCACAACAAGTGAGGGTCTCCTTGCTACATCATAACATGGCAGAAGAAATCTCGTGGCAGGAGAACTTGTCAGAAAAACAGAAAAGGGGGCTGAATATTCCCCCTTTATACTGAATCAACTCCTTTATCCATTTATGAGGACAGTGCCTTGTGACCTAATTTCTTCTTACAGGTCCCACCTCTCAACACCGTTACAATGACAATTACATTTCAACATGAGTTTTGTAGAGGACATTCCAATCAGCAGTCTGCCTCTCAGCTTTGCCAGTTACTAGCTAAGTGCTCTTGCTCAGGTTACTAACTCTCCATCTTGATTTCCTCCGTGTGGACAATGAAGAGGTTGAGGGTGAACCCTCCAAGGTCCCTCGGGGTGCTAATTTTCTGAGATCGACTTTTCTTGCATAATATCTGCCTTTCAATTCTTCATGACCAAGTGAAAATGTCATCTCTTTCCTGAAGACTTTTCTGATGTACCAGTTAATGAAACTTTCTCCCTTCTCTGAACCGCTGTGTTAATTCAGTATATATAACCTATTTTTTTTTTCACTTTCTGCTTATATGGCATTTTATCTTCTTGTGGGGAGCCTGTATACCTTGGGTATTGAGCATTTCAGTCTTTCTCTGCATGATGCTGGCTCTGCTGCTCTTCTTGAAATTGGCACTCAAAATATGATTTTCGTGGACGGCAAGCAGTTAGCTTGAAGTTTTGCTATAAACATCAGCAAGGTAAGGAAGAGTCCACAGAGTGTGGATTGGCTGGTTTGGGCCATGGCCAGAGGTTAAGTACAGGGCCGAAGAGGGTGAGACAACGAGTTCAGCAGGAGAGCTCTGAAGAGGGGGCTCCATCTGGACCAGCCTGATGCTTAGCATACAAGATGTGCTCAAAATGCTGTGAATGAAGAAGGAAAGCAGAGCGGCACAGGGTTTCAGATTTTTAACTCATTTATCATTATCCATTTCTAAACACTCTTTAGTCATTCTCTTATGTTTAATCCCCAAACACCAAACTGGAACATAAAA